CCCCCCCCAAGGGGGCTTCTCCCCCCCTTGGGGGGGAAAAATTTTTAAAAAAAAAAAAAAAAAAAAAAAAAAAAAACCCTATTTCATCCAGTTGCCCTTGATCTAATTATTTTTGGAACAATCGAAAGCTGTGCTGGTCTCTTACCGTCCACTTCAACTCACCTGACCTCAAACTTGCCAATCCTGGTGGAGGTTGTGGTCACTTCCATGGCCTCCTGCCCATCTCCCATAAGCACCTACAACACACGCACACAAATGCAAGGTTCGAGGTCACTGTTGATCTACTAGGATACACATTGCACAGTGACAAATTCATCTTACGTGATCCATGATTGGAGAAATGGCAGAGTTCACTGGTCTCTCGGTTTTAAAGTCTTGATGTGATCCAGAGAGGCAAAGACAACAACAAATATTCTAACGTCTATTTAAGAATATAAGTCAGTGGATTCACATTACAAGGTCTGTAGTATGGACAGAGTGACCAACACCTACTGTGTGTGTTTTTTTGTTTTTTTTGTGTACCTTGTTATAACCCCCAGGAAATTGTCAATGTTTACTTCAGTTTACGTACAGTATAAACTTATAAATAAATATAAGGAAATACATTTCTCATTCACTTATTTCTGTTGTTCTACTTTGGAGCGGGGGTCTCAAATGACTGGAGGGTCACCTCACAATTCCATACATATATAAATAATGACAAATCCAAGAGTTAAAAAGAAAAGAAAAGAATGTTGTCCTTTGAGGCACCGTTAGTAGTCGTGTCCCCGTCTCATGATTTCATTATTTGATATGATAGGACGAAAAACTAACTACGAATCATTTTAACTTCAGACAAAATCTAACGTTATCTGCTGAGACGCATACGCTAGCGTAAACTGCACTAACGGTCTGGACCTGTACAAAATACAACCGTCAATCGTTTTCAAAAACCCACCATTTCAATCAATCAGATGTAGCCCAGTGTCTTGACTTGAACGCCAGTTGGAAGCCCAAACCGCTAACACTCGTGTCTCCAGCGCCGAATCCGCAACCGGAAATAAGGACCGTACAACCTATTCCTACTTCCGTTATACCAGCGATTCAATATCAGCGCGCCCCCTACAGTTGACCGCTGACATTTACATTCTTTTTTTTTAGTTGGTTTAGTCTCTTAGAACTTTTTCTTAGATAGAAATAGCGTGCTTTGACGACTGTAACAAAAAAGCTCATTGGTGAAAATCTACAAAAATAAACAATTTAAATACAAAATGCCCACCAGCTGTTTTACCATTGTATTTTTCAAATAGTTTTTTTAGTTTTAGTTGTATATATATTCAATGATTAATTTCCTGAACAGCATGCAATATATATTAAAAACATTGAAATAACGATCTTCTGTGGAACAAGAAGACAAAACACCTTCCTAGAGGTTTGCCACATATTCTATATTTTCAGATATTTGAACGCTAGAAAATGTCTTACACACATCATGTCATACTATTATTACGCAAAAATATTTATAATATTTAATATTATAATATTTATAATGTTTGATAAATCTAAACTACATTCATATTTGTTTTATTCAGTATATCATTATTTTAAATGCTTAATTTAGTTCGGTTAACCTTCGAAAAGCGAACTATTTAATCGCTGAAAATTCCGCTGATGTTTGTTTTATTTATATACGTTGTGAAGAGAACGGTTGTTCGGTTTTCTCTCCGCCACACACAAAAGAAGCTCCTGAAAATGTTTTTATTTATCAAAATCTGGCATGTTTTCGTCATCGATCATCCCCGCAATAATATCAGTGCACCCTGGAAAAAGGTAGTGCCACAAACTGTGTCCCTCCGCAAAAAACCTTAAGGAGATTGAAATATCAGGTTAAGTAGTCCGTTTTTTGAAACGATACTTATCGTTAGAACATAGCCTATTATGAACGAAAATTTTATACTGTTGTAAGGAGAGTAAAAGAGAAAATACTGCAACAAAATCACTTTATTTTTTTCGGTATATCATAATCTTTCAAAAAAACTTTTACATAAATCCTCTTCTTCGGCCAAATCAGCGTCAGCGGTAAAACTAAGTAAAACAGAGCGTTTCACGTAGGAGATTTAACTAAATATAAACTATTTTCAATAATTATAGAGCGACTGTAACAAAGTTATGTTATTATTTGTATTTTATTTTATTTTGTATTCAAATCTACGTATCGCAGTACAGCTTTCCTACTTCAACAACGCTCTTTTCACTCAGCAGAGGGCGGCAATGGGAAGAACGCAAACTATTGGCTAAGTTCAAAACACCAGTGCAGGTTTTGAATTTACAGTGATTGGTTTACTAGGTACCGGCTGTTATAGGAGTATAGATGAACAAATACATGTAAAAACAATGCGTATGTGATGGTCATTTTTAGCAAACTATAATTAGGATTGAACCCACTTCCTGTAAAACTCATTCTGCTCTACTTTACATTAAAAATATTAACTAAATATAACATTGACTGGATTACTCAATTTCTCTCTGAAGTAGGTTTATTTTTTGGAGACAGAGAATAATATTTGATGTATTTTTATGCTACCTTTGTGATTTTGGACTATACAGTACAAACAAAATTGACAATGTTTTGTGTCTGTGTATTTACAGAATAGTCAGATCTGATTTAACGTTTTCAGTGTTAAATTTGAGAATCAGAAAAACAACTTTAAGACTGTGGATTTGAAAGAAAACTCTAATAGTACTTTGACTTTGTCAACCTTTGGTTGCTCCTTCCTCTCGTTACTGTGTATTTTCCCTCCTTCCTCTGCACCTGCTTCTCTCGTCTCACCTTCATTTGTCCTTGGACTAAGTACCATGTACCTAGGTGACCTCGCAGCTACAGCCGGGACAGGTGGGAGCTGTGATGCTAGTGGAGTGGAACGATGTTTTTGCTTAGTGACAATCTGGATCACTTTCCTGGAGTAGCACAAGTTCTCAAAGAAAGCAGGCACAGCAAGCAAGCACTAGTCCTGGAGCCCCCAGAGAAGAGAAAGAAACCTTAAACCACAACGAATACCAGCTGCATAAGAACTTTTATATGACTGTCAGGACAAATACTTTGTGGCATTTTAATAGACAAGCCTTCACCGTCATCCAAACTGAACTGGACAACTACGGTGGCCTGTACATTCCAAGAAGAATATGAGTCCTCTGCAGCACTGCTTCTCCAAAGCCTATAAATCAATAAAGTAACCTGGGCATCACTACTAGACTGCAAAAGCTAAAAATACCAACACATTTCCAGAACCAAATACAAAATTAATCACCATCCATAAATCATTACAGACAAAGCAACATTAGCCAAAATTCACTGTTTAAAGTAGTAGCTGTGAATGTGCTTTAAACAACATGGTAAAATAAGCTAAGCTACAGCTACTGGTATCATTTTTAACATTAAGCAAAACATGGCCGAACATGAAAATAAAGCTAAAAACAACAGCAAAATCCTTGTGCGTGTGCTCAGAATAACCACTATTATACGTGAAAGTAGCCAGTTTATACAATCAGTGCAACCTCCTGAAAGATGAAGTGAAACCAAAAATCAATATAGTGACAGCAGGGTTGCCTTTGTCAAACGTTTGTGAAGATTAAAAAAGACAGGAAGTCACCAATGTAGGAAATCACTTTCAACTACAGGTTTTCAGGTGTGTGTGTGTGTGTTCTACAGAGGAAATGAAAAGTCACAGCTTTCACATGATTAAAGAAACGTCACACATGTAAGGACTTTATGCTACATACTCACAGACATAAATGATCAGAGACATATTACCCAGAAATGACTTTTTTTATATATAAACTTAAGTAAAATACATTCACTAGTGCCACTGAAAAGCTGGGTTTAGCGCATGAGACAAAGGTAAAAAAAGAAATTCACATTTTATTTTTCAGAAATAAATATTTTTGCCCTTAAATCTACCTTGGCTTAAAAGTTAAATGTGGCAACGAGCGGGCTGCGTTTGTGTACTCAAAATTATAGACGAAAAATACAGAAAGAAGTCAGAGAAAAAGAACATTTAACATTAGCCAGAATATGACTATAAGTTAAGCCAGAGAAGGTTTAAGATCAAGAACAAAAAGGCTAAAAGGTAGACAGGAAATCAGCTGAAAGGTAAAAAAAAAAACAAAAACAAACAAAAAAAAAACAGAAAAAAACTGAGGTTATAATATAGATAAACACTAGTTGGATCGTACAAATGCAAAGCCAAAATTTTCAGTCAGACATACTCGAAATTTTCAAAGCTACAACAACGTTAGCCTTCTGCCGTAAACCCAACACAACTGTTTCACCTTGAGTAACACACTCAGAATACGAGTCAAAAGAAAACGCATAAATGAACACATAAAAACCAGTGTCTTCAGAAGACAGCTTCTGTTTGTCTACACTGATGTTCAAGCTGCTGAGACTTAACTTTAAGGACGACTGAAACAGAGACTCACTGCAGTCTAGGCTCAGAGGAATCATAACAAGAGCCGTGGAAGGAGTGTCTTCGCGAGATTTGGTGCGACAAAAAGAGTGAAAAAAAAGAGACGTGCGTGAACATTTGAAGGGTTCAGTGTAAAGGCTGTGGCGTGACAACGCGTCTGCCGTCTCCTCGGCGTGACGACACACATGTAAGTGTTGTTGTAGTCTGTACACCGTGACCTGTGTGTGTGACCTTTTGTCCAAACGACTGTTCAGATATAATTTAGACCCTGACTAACACAGGGTGGAGAAAGTCTTCATGACAATAGTTGAACACACACTAACACACACACACACTAACACACACACACAGTCACAGACAGTAAAAGCTCTCACTGTGACGCCCAGTGTTCTTCGTGGGCGGCTCTTGTCGCCGTAGAACATGTGAATTATTATATAATTATTCCCCCATGAATTAAACATGACGACCACTAACAATGACAGGGATGCTCAGTGTGTTTCCATTCTTTTTATAAGGGTGCTTAGAATCCACCGCAACCACAAGAGGGAAAACTACGATGGTCTTCGTCTCCTCAGGGACAATTAAAGACGGATGAGTTAAAGTTGTCCTGATGTCTCGAGTCGCTCTGGTACCTTTGATCTACACTGGCTTTGATGAATTCCCCCTAACTGCAAAATAGTTCACTTTATTTTAACGAAAATGTATACACAGATACACAAACACACACACACACACACACACAAAGAAAGAAATATTTCCTTTAACTTCATCTGTCCAGACATTTGTCCTAGGCCAGTGGTTCTCAAACAGTGGTATGCGCACCGCTGAGAGAACCCAAGCTCCGTCTCTTGGAGTACAGGGAAGTAATAATTGTGCTGAGAAACATGTGAGTCACTCAGTTGTTAAATAAAAGTGTGTCCTAGTCCGTGTTAACACCACGCGAATTGTGCTGAGAAACATGTGAGTCACTAAGTTGTTAAATAAAAGTTTGAAAAGTGTGTCCTAGTCTGTGTTAACCCCCCCACACACACACATTTTGTCTCTAGTCCAACAGAGTCAAAGTCGACACAAGTCAGAGTCAAGTCCCCAGGACTTTAGGTCAAAGTCTGTTCAACTAGAAGACACATGAAGGTTTAGTCCAGGTCCAGAGACGAGTCCTGGAGTCTGGTTCAACAACAGTCTCAGACGTGTGTATGACGATGGTGAGGACATTATACTGCATTAACGTACGGTGATGTCATCATGACATCATGGCTAGGAGTTTATCATTCAAAGAGTTTTTGTGGGGTTAAAACTGGGTTTCAGGAGCGGCTTTGGTGATGAAGAGCTACAAAGAAACACGTGTGAAATTGTGTGTGTGTGTGTGTGTGTATATCAAACCACAACTGTTTCCATAGGCTTCGACCCCTGTACACACAGCTTTCATCTGTGCACACACTCACACTCACACACTCTCTGTCTCTCTTTCTCTTTCAGACACACAAACAGAAATTGTTCCTCTCTCTCTCTCTCTCTCCCCCTTCCTCCTCCCTCCCTCTCTCTCTCTCTCTCTCTCTCTCACTCACTGACAGCTCCTCTGCGCCTCAGAACTCCACAGGAGCCGGAGCAGGAAGTACGCACTTCAACCTGCTCTGACTCTGTGGACACTGGACTGTGACCTGTGTTCCTCAGGAAAACCAAAGACCTTTTTCTTCATGGAAACTCTGTCCTGAGAAGAGAAGAAAAAGAAAAAACCCGTCTTCCTAGAACAGTGAGTATCAGCTGTCACTTCACTCTGTTTACTTATATTTAAAAAAAAAAAAACAGCTCAGAGTATCCACACAGACAGTTAGGATTTTTAGTTCTTTCTGTGGATGTTGGGTCCTCAGAGTCTTCAGAGTTGTGGAGGTTCAGGTTCAGACCCAGTGTTTTTGTTGCAGCAGAACCTCACCGTGTGGTTTTGGTCCGGTGCCAGTGAGGCTGATGGAGCAGACACGACCTGCTGCAACACACACCACACTAAGAGCACTTCAGCAGTCGTCTGCTGGTGCAGGGTAGTAATTTCCCTGTCCTGCCAGTCTGTGTGTGTGTGTGTGTGTGTGTGTGTGTAAGGGTGTTACTTTTCAGCAGTAGAGTCTGTGATATCTACTTAAAACGTAGGAGGACGAAGTTGAGGAGGAGGAGGAGTAAAAGTCAGGTTATAAATGCCCTGCAGTTTGATTAGCTCCTGTGTTGCTTCTTTAAATGTAGATAAGAAAATATCATCCCACACTCTCTGAGCTCTTTAACAAGTTTACTGTGTTATAAGAACGAGCTGCAGACGGACTAATATGACTGTGTGTGTAGAGAGGACGAGGCTGTGGAACAATGTTGTTTTCCTGGTGGTATGGTCCAAGTGAAATTACAATTTGACTCATGGTTCCCGTCAAAATGTGTCTGAATCTGAGATCAGGTCATAAATCCTGGGTCTGAGGTGAGTCAAAGTTTGGGTTTTAAGACAGAGATGAATCACCAGGAAAGTCCAGGAAAAATAGGCGTGAAGTCAAGTCCGGTCTCAAGTCTTGGCAAAAAGGCGTCGGAATTGAATTTCAATGGCAGGACCTGTAAAAAGATGTTGACAGAGTGAAGTCATGAGTAGAAGATACTAGTACTTTTTTTTTTCAGTTTTCAGATCTCCTGGTCTAAAAAGACAGTTTGTAAACTGATGCAGCGTGTGATTGACAGCTCATTAGATCAGTTAAAGGAATAAGTTTGACCTTTAAATGTCTATTTGTGTTCTTTTACTGACTTCTAGAAGAACCAGATGAAGGAATAAGTTTGACCTTTAAATGTCTCTTTGTGTTCTTTTACTGCCTTCTATGGATCAAGAAGAACCAGATAAACCAAATTAAAATAAGGGTTAGATGTTGTTGAGCTGCTTGGTGACATATGACTGATCGACAGAGACAATATTAATTCTTTACCAGGGTTAATCCCCGTGCACGTCAGTGGGTCGGCTCTGCAGGTGTCGGTCCAGTGAGACCTTCCAGAACCCAAGACACACAGAGAGATGTTTACAAAAATAGTCACCTTTCTTTTAATGTTTAAAAAAAAGTTGAGTTTTTTCTTAGAAAATTCACGTGCTGTGGAGAGAGGCTCACTGCAAATGGAAATGTCACGTTAGATTTGTCAAAGCAAGAAAATCAAATCACCAAAATCACATCAGTGCTGCCTTTCATGAAGAAATTTGAATAAATTCACCTGTCGGGGAAATTAGAGTCTTGGCTTTGAGGCTAGCTGACTGTCCTGGTCTCTCTCTCTTCCACACATGCACTCACTCACTCACAGTGAGAGAGAATCAGGAAGTAAGGGCATTTGAGTTTGTTTGGATCAAATGTCTTCCTCGGCCTCATCGCTGTAATCTGATTAGAAAAGTGCAACTTGTTCATCCAGGCGGACCAGCAGACCGACACCTGTTCCTTTAAGAGAAGTCAATGGTTACTTTACAAAATGTAGTGATTAATCTTTTCATTTAAATCACTGTCAATCAACACAGGTTTTTTTTTTAAATCTGCAGTAAATAACCGTACTGTGAACCCTACTGTATCAGTTCTGGTGAAAACATCTGTGAAGTTCTATGGAGAGAAACAGAGGATAGAATTTCTCATCAAAACTGATATTTTCCTTTTTGCATTTCCTATATAAAACAGTTTGGTGTGACTTTAAACACACATATATTGTTAAAGAAAAAAAACTTACTTTGCTGTAGTTAGTATTTCTTGATCATGTGAAGTCAGCTATTATTACTATCCTTTGATGAAGAGAGAGACTATGAGGAGTTTCTATTTTTTTTTCTCAGATGCTGACTCGGTGGTGGATGGTTTCCGGGGGTCTCTAGGTCACTGCTGTCGCTGCACCATGGAAAGAGAGGGCTCTTTACGGAGGTAACAACCTCACACACATCCCGGCATGACCTCATTCATTCATTCATTCATTCATTCATTCATTCATTCATTCATTCAAACATCCCTCTCTTCCTCCTTTGTTCTGTAATTAGACTCCAGCCTTTTCCTCCAGCAGCTATTTCTGTTTCCTCACTGACAAAAGCAAAAAGTATTTTTAGTCATATATTCTTTTAACAACAGCTTCGCCGCCTTACTGTTTTATACATTCACAGTTAATTTCCTACCGTTCCCTGTAGCACGTCGCCTCTTCATAGGTGGTTTTTTGCAACTCATTCATTCTTCATATAGTTTCATGCACATTTTCTATCTTCCGTTTTGTCCTCTGTAGTGTGGAAAACTTTTTCACTGAAATAAAACTTTAGAAAAGAACCTTCTTCACAGCACTTTAGTGTGTGTGTGGTGACAGAGAAACAGACACAGAGAGAGGGAGAGAGAGAGAGATCAGGGCTCCTGTTTCTCACACTGACATATTTATGTGCAGTTGAACTAAGATCCAGGCTGGTAGACCTTCAACCCACGCACACACACACACACACAGTCCCATCATTTTTCCTGCCACATTATTCCTCAATCCTCCAAATTTTCCATGACCTCTTCCTTCCCACTTGCCAAACAGTTATTTTTCTTTCTTCTACCTTTCATTCCAACGTCAATTCCATTATTATGAATTATTTTCACCACTGAAGTGAACGGTGGACGTAGTCGATCTAAAAGGCAAAACAAAAAAGAAACGTGTGTTAAATGAAACCACACAATCAGACGGTGACTAAAACCAAATACTGAACACCATTGTTTGAGTTGAAGGAAATGGAACAAGTGTCATCTTTAAACTCTTCTCCGCCCATCTGGCAGCTCTTAAACCACAAATAGTTGTTTGTTCTCTCTGGCACCGGAGCACTGAGAGGTCACATGGTCACAGACTGGCACAGGCTGGTAGAGGAGGGAAGGAGAGAGAGAGGTAAAGAGAGGGAGAGAGGAGATGAAGGTGGAGGAAAGATCACAGAGGAGAGACGACAGAGAAGACAAAGACACACTGTCTCCATCGCTGATCAACTTGTTCAAATGTGACACACACAAATACATACAACAAATAAATGAAAACTAAAGTAAACAAAATGCCTTAAATGCAAGTATTTCCCCCAACATCTGGTACCATGTGCTAAAACGCTTATCATCATACTGCTGTATCTTTGTAAGTCAAATATCAGTCAGCATGGCATACTAAATACTAAAGAAATAAGAAAATGTAAAACAAAAAACCCAACAACAAACCATATACCTTTGCATGTCAACGTTTTGGTCAGAATACAAGACCTCTCTCCTCTGGATTAAGTTCTCATAATCATGCCTCTAAAACAGGTGATGTTAATATTGTTTTAGTTTCCACTGACAAATTTTCAGACTGGAAAGACTTTAATATTTATGAAATCTCCTCCTGTGTCTCTCAGTCTCTGCTCCTCATGTTTCCTTTTCTTCTTATTCCTTTCATTTTTCACACCTTCACATCATCTTTACTCCTGCTTTTCTCTCCTCGTGCAGCTGTTTTTCTCTGTCTTTTCTACACTGACTGACTTTATTTCTGCTGAGCGCCGTGGTAAATTAGCTTAGGTAAACATGAACAGATGGTTAATAAAGTCTGGCTAATGTTTGCACTTAATTAAAATTGGAACTGTAAAGTAAATTATCTCAAAACAGTGTCTGACTAATTCAACTTTGAAGCCTATTAAACCCAAAACACCTGTACCTGTAGGACAGCCGCCATTTTTAGCTTACGTTGTAGCTGTCTCTTGGCTAACCTTTGCTTTCCTTTTAGCTTTTTATGGCTATTTATCTTCGTACATTATGTTGTTATCGCAACTTTTTGCTCCATCTGTTTACCAAACTTTTGCTAACGTTAAGCAGCTGTTTTCATTTCCTTTAGCGCTAACATAGCCAACAAGCTAATGTATGCTTGACTGTAGGACACAGCAGGTCAAACATAAGCTATTTATAAGCTAACTTCTTGCTGTCCTTTTAGTTAGATTTTGCAGTTTTTAATCTTGTCCATGCAGACTCCATGTGGTTGTAACCATTTGTCCTGGTACCTTTCTCCTTTTTGGAATTTGAGGAGTCTCCATAGCCGCCTGAAGTTGGGCAACAGTTCCACCTCCAGTCTGACCGACCTCTCACAGTCCAAAACCTCAGCAGGAGGAGGAGCTGAGAGAGGAGCATCGACTGGAGGGTTGACGGAAGAATGCAGCAAGGACAAAGGGACCCAACAGAGGAGGGCTGGGGCCAACGCCACCTGGAACAGGTCAATTACACACACAGAGAATTAAAAATAAGAGTGTCTAAACATTCATATTTGTATTGTTCTAGCTTGACAATAAGTAAAAAATCCTGTATGCTGTTAATGCTGCATGTTGCGTTATACTTGCAATATTTTGGGCATGTGATGAGGCAAAAAGCACACCATAGATCTCTGCTGCCATATATTAATATATTAGCACGACTCTAGGGTCTGTGATGGTTGAAATATTCTATTTCCATTCTTTTTCCCCCCGCTCTATGAACAACAGCAGTTGGTGTTGAAAATTGAATGAATTAACGTTATCCAAAGAAAATCTCCACTGTTGCAGGCCACTGTGTATGCCTTTTAAATAGGAAGCCCATATTTGTTTCACGCCCATATGCACATGCATGCATATAAGCAGTAACTGGTCCTGTCATCCCCTGAGGGTCCATCTGTATCTGTCCCGTCCCTGCACTTCTTTTTATTTGACCACATTCTGCCTCATAAGTTCCCTTTTCATTTTTCATGCCTGTTAAACCGTAACCTTCTGAAAAGAAAGAGCTCTCAGTTTGCAGCGAGGTTGCAGCTCAGGTCTTACAGGAAGAGGAATTGTCTGATCCATCTGACTCCTGTCTCACACTCTTCTGCCGACTTAGTTATTATTTCTATTGACATTTTCACGACTTTAACCACAACACACTGCTTTTTTTATCACGTCAGTACAAAGAAAGTGTGTATATGTCTGTGTATTTATAACTACAGTCAGTACTGTACTGTTTGGCTGCCCCCAAGGTTCAGCCTGTATTTCTTTGTTTCTTTGTACTTTTACATATATGTTTGGGGTTTTCACACCATAAAGGAGTTTTTAAAACAAAGTAATTTACTTAAGTCTGTTTTGTTTTTATTTTTCAGCATCCACAATGCAGTGATCTCTGTTTTCCAGAGGAAGGACCTGGGAGAAAACGAACTCTACACATTAAATGAAGGTGTCAGGTAAGTGTTTTTGTTAATCCATCCATCCAATCAAAAAGCTCTACTCCAATTAGTAATGAGTTATAATTTTGCTATTTTGAAGGATTCAATTTAATTTTGATGCACTGAGGTTTTTTAAGTCTAAGTCTAAGATAAGTAGAACTTTTAATAATTTAGCTTAATGTAGGTTATTTTTGGCCATATCATTAAGGTCATCCAAGCTATTTTCCTGTTATTTCTTTATTCATATTAACATTTTTTAAATACGATGACAGGGAAAAACAAGGAACTGAAACTGACTACGTTTTTTGTTTGTGTATTTTATGGTCAGCTGCCTTAATCTCTCCTTGCTCTTCACTGTCCCGTGATCAGTAAGACCTTGACCTAGCTAGGAAAGATAGTGACGGGTCAAACTTACACAGGAGTCAGTGCCAGGTGTTTGTTGTGTAAATAAAGCTTAGCCGAGGGCCGTATTTTGCACACCTACAGGAACACATAACACATGTTGCGATGATGGTAAATATTCACACAGCAGATGAAGACGGTCTGACACCGGGTAGTGTTGTATGAATATAAAAAGCAGCAGAATCTGCCATATATAAAATATATATATTTTTTGATGTGCTGTTGCCTTAGGTTACATTAGTTTATTACTCTTTCTTTAATTTCCATACCTATCACTTTAATTTTTTATTTTGTAAATTTTACTTTAAGTCACAATCACAGTCTATCTGAAACCACTTAGCTGTGACTTACAAACATTACAAAAAAAAAAAAAAATCAGGCTGTGACTTACAAACATTACAAAAAAATAAAAAAAAATTCAAATTTCCCACAGTTCATGATGACCTTTTAAATTTGACGTAGGAAACGGAGGTGTTTCTTCACGTTTCTTAATGTTTGTTTTGCAGGCAGCTGCTAAAGACGGAGCTGGGCTCTTTCTTCACTGAGTATCTACAGAACCAGCTGCTGACCAAAGGCATGGTCATTCTAAGAGATAAGATCCGCTTCTATGAAGGTACGACACACACATACTTGAAAATCACACAGATCCAATGTTAGAGGATGTTTATGGATTTACCTAATATATATTTTTATAAGGAATTGTAGTCAAAAATGATGGTTGGGATTTAAAAAAAAATCCCAAAACAATGGCTTTCCCGGAGATAAAGAACAGTTTTTGTCCTGAAGTGTGAAGCACCTCATTTAACAATATAGAAAAACATTAACTGACACATGTTGTTGCTGAGGTTAAACCATGACAACTTAAGCCTTGCCCCGTAACATTCCTAAAAATGTGTTTAGATAAAAAGCGTATTCAGCCATTCATGACTTCTAACAGCCGATCCAACTCCCCCAACACAACTTATTGCTTCTCTTTTAAGATACAGTGGCTGTTATCACTACTAAGTGTTTCACTACCCCCTCCAGAAAACAGATTTCAGGATAAAAAAAAATTCTACTCAAAAACAACCAAAACACTTGCAGAAGTGAAAATGTGAAAAACGTGTGTGGGATTATTCTAAAAATAAATGAAATAACCAATAACAGAAGCCTAGACAGCTTTTAAAAAGTTTGATTGAAGATACTGTGTTGGGTTATACTGCTTTGGTTCAAGACAACAACTTATGTAAGTGATTCATTTCAGGAAAACACAGAGTGACATGTTTTTATCTAGTGCTGAGAGGCTTCTAATAATTGACCAAAGGGCCAGACACAGAGTTAACCATTTAACACTTGGAACAAAGAGTTATTTCTTGACTGTCTTTAACCTGGAGTGAAGGGCACTTTTCACTAGGCAGACACAGACACACAGACACACACACACAGACAGGCCATAGTGAAAAAAAGGCTTAGTTTTGCTTCTTCAGTTGCGGTAAACGTGTGACTTTTTTTGAAACACCTGTTAAATGAGAAATGAAAATTAATGATCTCTACACACGCACACACTCACAGACAGACATACGGACACATCCTTATAGTCGCAGGAAGTGATACTTTACGTCAATTCTAAACCACAGCCACACCCACACATTCTGTTTTGTTTCATGTACAAAAGTCACATTTAACTGTTTAAATAAACGAAGACAGATACTCTGTGTTGAAAATATTCAAAGACAAATATCAAAGTATTTACCTCCCAGTCCACTTGTCCATGATGTAACTACTTTGGGTACATATAAGGAGCTGAGAATGTTTATGAAGTTTAATTTGCTCTTTCTAACGTGCTTCCCATAGGTCAGAAGTTATTGGACTCGCTGGCCGATACTTGGGATTTTTTCTTCTGTGATGTTCTATCTATGCTACAGGCCATCTTCTATCCTGTGCAGGTACACACACTGCAACATGTACACATCACTGAAAGTTCTCCACACACCAATCTGACTGATATGTGTGTGTCGCCAGGGAAAAGAGCCTTCAGTGCGCCAACTCGCTCTGCTCCACTTCAGGAACATTATCACCTTAAATCTAAAACTGGACGAAGCTCTGTCTCGACCCAGAGCCAGAGTTCCTCCATCTATAATACAGATGCTGCTAATACTACAGGTAAACACACCCAAAAACATGACTGAACTAAAATATATGAACAATCCCAATTTTAAACCCCAACTCCAAAACCACAAATTAAATTTAGAATCTGAAAATACACTTGTGATAAAAACCAATAGTATTTTCTGAATACAGCTACACCAGGACACACACACAGGGCAACGTTCAGGCCTGGTAGAGACTGAGGAAGTGGGGAAAAAAACAACACAAGTTTTTTTTTCTATGCTATGGGATCTCACAGGAAGTAGAGCCAGTGTTAATGTTCTATTTCCCATGACCACCTAATCCCCTGTGTGTGCGTGTTTGTGTAAAACTGCTGGTTGTGTGGATGTTTACGTACATTTGAGAATCTCCCACGTTTACACACACAGCATGTTGTCGTGACAAGAAGACACAGAATCCGTCCGTCAAACCCTCTCGTCTCGTCTTCAGTTCAAAATATTTTCCTGTACAAACAGAAGAAATTGTTGGACTTATTAATACAAGATGAGTGACAATAAAATTCACCTCATTTAAACCACGACAGCATACAAATATTTCTTCCTTGTAAGGTTTAGAACTTAGTTATTTTTATAAATATAAATATATTACATTTGCAGAACTATGAAAACAAGAAGAGGTTTTTGGAGCTAAATAAATGGATTTCCAACTAATTTAAATTAGAAAATAATTTAAACTGTTTTCTATTTATTGTTTTTGCATTAAATTTAACAAAGCTCCAAGTGCTGAATGTTTGTGATTAAAGAGACAAAGTCTGCAGTTTGTTTAGTTTCAGCACAACGGACAACCAGGTCAAAGATGAGCAGCCTACACACATGCAGACACAGGCACGCACACAGATATTGGCACTATGGTAGGATCACATCAAAGAATACAATTACTAATATGGTTAAGACTTTACAATTAAACAATTTTTAAACTTTTCTGTTTGAATGTTAGTCAAAATCCGACCCAGAACCTTTCGCATGGCAGGCTGGATTAGTTCCCCTGCTCTGAACTAGCTGCCTCCAAAATGCTTCAGAAATGAAATGTCACGGTATAAGAATGCATTAAAGTCTTTTTAGTGTTTCTATAATGTAATCAACAAATATATGGTTCATAGATGGTAATGAAAACACGGCGTAGGTTTTAAGATGGTAAACCCAGGCGTGAACCTTGTGTCGATTCCTCTTTCATCTGTTAGTCATTTCTCTTTTATTCTGTTCAAACGCTGTGACGCCACTTCACTGACGTCTGCTGCACTGATGTGGTTTCTGTCTACACTGTGGTTTCCAGTCTGCGCGGCTACAGATCAAATGTTCTCCTCATTTAAAGACCAATATAACTGGTGATTAGGACGATGGTTTTCAGTACAAACTTATAAATAAAAAAATTAAAAATAAAAAGAAGTACAGACTTACAGCAAAGTGAACTTTTCTTTCATTTCACCTGCTCAGATCCGGTCATGTGTCTATGTTTCCTGGCAACAGAGCTGCAACGAATAATTTTTGGTCTCATTAAAAACCAGGAGCTTTGAACAGGCGATAAACACGGTTTGACATTTATAAAGTAAAAGTGAAAAGAGAAAATTAGGCAAAATAAACTAAAATTAGGTTGGGGTTTAAAACAAAATATTAAAAGAAAGCAAAAAAAATGTTGACAAAGGGACATTTAATACTCAAAATAATTTTTTTCTTCATTGTTTGGGTTCAGGGTGTCCACGAATCTAAAGGTATAACAGACGATTACATTCGTCTGGAATCTCTCGTCCGGAAAGTGGTCTCGCCTTATCTCGGGACTAATGGATTATATTCAGATGGATCCTCTAATCCACACTGCTCCACCTGCCTTTTAGGTGTGTATGTATTTCAAAGGAAAATTCTGTGCAAAGAAAGAAGGAAAATGGAGTAATGACACAAGAAGTTAGTGTTGGAGTATTTTAAATGTTTTTTAATCTGTTGTAGTCTGTGTGACTTGAAATGAACATACATCATTAATTACATGTAATGAAATATAATGATGTTCTAGCTAACAATTTACTACAATTCAACATTGGAGCGTTTTTTAAATTGTTTTTGTTATTTGCTGCCACCTGGTGGAAGAGTATTTAATTTCTCCACTAGCAACTGTCGCATTGGTGAACGAAGACCAATTATTTTCAGTAAATAAATCTTAGTTTTGCCAAAGGACAGTGGTCGGGAATCATTTAACTTGAGGACAACTACACTGGTTTAGAAGAAATGTGTATATTTTAAAGTCAATTTATTTCTACCTGATAAAAATGAAAAAGAAAATACAATCAGGCATGTCTTACCTCAAAGATCCAAATTCTTCTATTTCTTCCACAGGATTTTTTCATAGGCTCTCAGTTGTGTAAATGTTCCTGACCAGAAGTTCAACGTTCCTTTATTCTGTTCGTTAGTTACATTTCATGTTTTTGTCTCTCTGCAGAAAAGCGTTTGCAGCGCTCCTGGTCCTCTGGCCCAGGGAACTCCCCGGCTGCTAAAAACCCAGTGGTTCGTTCTAAGAGCTACAACGTCCCCATGCTGACACCTGTGGTTGAGTACGACACAGATTCCCCAACAGGAGTGGGAACAGGTATCAGACGACACTCCTTCTCAGAGATTACTTCCTGTGTGGAGGAAAGCAGCTCTGTAGCTGAATCAACCACCAATGCTGGCAGTAACAGCGGAAAATCCTGCCTCGCAAACCACTCCACAGCTTCTGTAGAACATGTGGCAGATTCAGGTAGGAACATAACACCTGTATACTGTATATATATATATTATATATATACACATACATACATATATATACACATATATAATTTAAAATCATATGTATAATATAATAGAAAAAAGCAACAGAAGATGAATCAAAAACATGTTATTTACTACTCAATAAAACATTGTTTACCCATCTTTTTAACAGACATAGTGACCTCCAGCCATGTTCCTCAGATCAACCACAATCTCCTCCTTAAGCAGCTGCATCCCTCCTTGGTCATCCTCCCAGATTTTTGCCCTCACAAAGACACACACAGCACCGGATCACTGGTGTCGGACTCACCTTTGTCCTCCAGAGTCCTGGCTCCAGACACTAGCTCTGGTCCTAGTCCGTCCTCCAGTCCTGAGATGGTGGTGGACCATATTCAGGAGTCTCTGGACTCAGAGACAGAGCCAGATGGCATTTTTCTGAACTTCAGTGCTGGGGGGTCAACACACAGCAGGGACAGTGGCAGACAGAGTGTGGCCTGACACACACACACACACACACACACACACACACACACACCAGCAAACTCATCAAAGATGATACTGAGCCATTGTTGACATTCCTCACAACGTGTTTTTCTAAAAAAGAAAATTACAGAAAACAATCATTACATGTACTGTTTGTAACAGATTCATAATAAATTATTTTTCTAGACATCTATTGCTCAAAAGCAGTATTTTTTTTATTATGACACTTTAACTGGTGTTCTACAGAAACATCCAGAAACACTCCAAATATGCATAATGAAAGAGCAGAAAAAGAAAATTAACTTAATCCAAATTGTCTATTTTCTGAGAACGCTTTAAGTGAATATAGAGTTAACTAACTGAATGTTTTGTGCCATTGAAATTGATCTATTTGTTTCCACTTATTGTCAGTGAAACTTCTTTTGCATCAACGTTGTTAAACATACTGTATGTGATGTATGAATTTGTCAAAGAAACACTATTTATGTGGTATTATTTTTGGGCCATACGTTATTTTCTACGTGAAAATTTTGTCGAATAAATAGGATTTATGGTGACAAAAGAATTTAAGAAAATAAAATCAATAAACTTAATATTTATATTTAGCCTCTGGTAACGTTAACAGTAAACCTTAACAAACGATGGTATTTTTGTTAGTGTCTCAATTTGAAATTTTCATCATGTCAGCACTACTTAAAATTAATTCATTAGAACTTTAGCTTTTGATATATTTCTTTAATTTTAGCAACATTCATTTGTCAACTTACTTGTTCTTTAATCGGTCAATCACGTTTTCCAAAATGGTCGCCATTAGAGAAAAGTGCTGCTACGAACCGGTTTATTCCGGAATTAAAACAAAACAAGTCACATTTTCAGAACTCTTTGCACTCAAAAAAATATATATATAAACGTATTCTACCTTTAAACGTTTGCCTAAATAACTCCGAATACTAATTAATTAAGACAAATCCTACTTGGAGAACATTTAATCGCTATTAAATCAGACGCAATAAGTGAAAACTTCACTAACAGTGCCCTCTCGTGTTGACCTTATCGTAGCGCAACTTCCCATATATAAATAAGTGTAACGTGAGTATACATATATATATATATATGCATATTAAGTTTTCAGTTATAAACTGTGGAGAAAATAACTTAAACTAGAAAGTCAGCAACATTTATTGTCCAAAATCAAACAACAGTAAAACCTCACTGACCAGTTTATATATCTCCAATATATTTTTAAATGCGTTAAAAAATTAAATCACATGGAATGTGAAACACAGTACAAATGTATACTGTATGCAGTTGAACCCAGCTCAACTCGTACTACATACAACAACTGAAATTCAGGGTGTACAACCAGTACAGTCACAAATGTTCATGTAATGTGGCCCCCATTCAAATTAATTGCTGTGCGATATCTCTTAAAGGGGACATCTTATGCATCAGCGGTTTCTTTTTACAATTTATGACATCAAGGTGATTACACACTGGGTAAGTCCAGTAGGGTACTGGGTAACACTTGAGGCACTACGAGTGCTTTGTTTTCTGTAAGAAGACAGGGTAGACAGCCAGCAAGACTGTACACTGTATACTTATGTAAGTCTACATACAAACATCAAAGTAACACTGTAGTATCAAACTTCACTACTAACCACTGCCAAACATCCAGGTTCATTCTTGGCTTTCAACCTTCTTCTGGACCTCCTTCTTGGTTATGCCATTGTAATGAGAAGCTGTCATCAGGTTCTGTGGAACAGGTGGGCGGAGCATGATGTAGCTCATTACCATTCAAAGGTAAACTCACAGAACTGAGCCATCAGAACAGGGCTCCTAAACAGGCGTGTAAAGAATCCAGCTGTGCTCAAACTTTAGTTTTTTCCGACCGTAGCATGTTCCCAATGTTTCATTTAGACAATATGGAACTATATTAAATTGCATAAAAGAAGCATAATGTCCCCTTTAAGATCAATGCAAAAAAGTATGTTAAGTTACATTCAGTGTTCACAATTCTTTTTTAAGGTTAGAGATTTTTTTATCTGAAACATCAGTGATTTCGAAGTACTGGTGTTCTCACTTCTCTCTTTTCCGCAGATTAAACACAGCTTAACAGAATCAACCTTTTTTTTATAATTTTCCACTCCGTGAATTGTACATTTTCATTTTCGTACCTTCTCCACTAAAGGTTATCTACAAAAACCCCTTCTTTTGATGCTATGACGCGACATTCCCCATGATGCAATGTGAAGAAAGAATGAGGATCCAGTCCTTTTTGTTCCAGAGCCTCTCTGAGGAGAACTGGTGGCTCCATGTAGAACTGCACACAAAAGACAGAGTTAGCCAGACTAATTTTCCCTTCTTTCCCACATAATGATTTTGTACATTTTAGAGCTGAATCAGTTTGCTTTTACTGTATGTAAAAATACTATAGGCCATTAAGCAGAGTCTGACTGTTGTACCTCATGTGCAAGTGCAAATGTTCCCCAGTGAATGGCCACAGACTTTTTGGCCTGAAGGTCCAGGTGAATCTGAACGGCCTCCTCTGGATCTACGTGTTGGCCCTTCATCACTTCCCTGAAAAACAGGACACACGAGTGAATCTTTTTTATTGACTGGGCAGTAATGACGTTCAATTGTTGACCTTCTGACCAAGTGGTTTTTATTCCCACTATGTGTGGACTAAGGTTGGCATTTTATGGCAGAAACGAGGGCTGTATAAGGTAAACACTGTTTATAGCATTTTAATAGTACCTTGGACAATAGGCTCCAATTGGAATCGCGGCAAGATCAAACGGTCCGAAACGTTGGCCTATTTCTTTAAAGGAAGCACAGTAGCCAGTGTCACCAGCGAAGAAGAATCGATGTTCAGGTCCTAAAATTGTCCAGCTGCCCCATAAAGACTGAAAGACAGGAATATTCATAAAAACACAAGCAACTCTCAGCTCACTTTTCACAGCACCAATACATAGTTACTGGTTTAAAGGCCAAAAGACAATCAGCTACTTTGTTATCGTCCAGAGCTGTGCGTTTGCTCCAGTGCTGAGCAGGTGTGCAGACAAAGGTCACTTCATCGTGACCTGGGACACAGTTCTCCTGCCACCAGTCCAGCTCCATCACGTTCTCGCAGCCCATTTTCACCAGCCAGTCCATCAAACCCAGGGGCACAAACCTGCAGAGTGCACACAGTGACTGGGGTCACGGGTCTTATTCATGGCAATGGAAATGTGCAGCTGTTCTTCATACACACCAGCGTAGCTCTGCTCCAAAGTGTGCATTGAGGCTGGCTACAGATCCAGCATCCAAGTGATCGTAGTGTGAGTGACTGATGACGACGGCATCAATTCTGGGCAGCTATGGACACGAGGGCACCAAAACTGACATGTTAAAAAGAAACTGAATGTTTGGTTAGTATTGGTTCTTGTTTGTTTTTCCACACAAAAACAAACAACAAAGATTCCAAACCTGTTCCACTCTGCAGGGGGGCCCTCTGTACCTTTTGGGCCCAGCAAACTGGACAGGCGATGCCCTCTGGCTGAAGATGGGGTCAGTAAGAATATTCAGTCCGTTAATTTCAACCAGAACTGTGGCATGACCCAGCCAGGTGACTCTCAGACCTGGATCAGAGTCAGGCAGTCCTTGGTTCTGGACAAAGTAGGGTTCCAACACTGGGAGTTCAGCATCCAGCGCCTTGAGGAAGAGGATGGAAAATTAGCAAATGTTACCTTTGAAATTTTTTAATGTGAGTTTTCACACTGCAGCAATCTTAAAGTAAAACATGTGTCCATCAAAACAAACTGTAATAGATTAATTAGTAGGGAGGGTGTCAGAGTAGAACTATGACGGAGGCATCGCTGTCTCTACTCAACAGGTTAACAATACAACTGGGGAAAAGACAACTATTACTGAGGAACACTTTCTTTGTTCAGACAAAGGGTTAAACAGTAGTCTGCTGCTCAGTTAAAGCAGCTTTTTGAGCTTGTTAAGCCTCAACTGAGCTCAGCAAAGTTTCTACTCTGTGCTTTCACTGGAATGTGAGCTAAAAAAAAAAGCAGGGTTTTCAATATAATTCCAGTGTCAATTTGGTACAGAAACATTATATTTATTTACATCATAATAAATATAATAATGATTAGCCAATGTTCGTCATCGTATTTATGCAATAAAGTCTCACCTCTTTGCTTGTTGGCACATTGCTATGGTCTTTATCCAAAAAAAAGAACTTGAGAAACGCTGCGGTAGAAGGGAAGCGCCATGTGGACCAGGGGTTCATCCAGCGGCCATGTTTGTCACGACAGGACTTTGTCACTTCTTCCTGCAGGCATAGCAAGTGACAGCATAAAGGACACTGTTTTAGATATGTATTAACTGGTAAGAACTGAAATCTTACCTCCAGTCGATAGTCCAGACGGAAGCTCTTGCGTGACGATTGGGAGGAACTGGTCTTCCTCAGGGTTGGACCAGTCGCCTCTCCACCTTCTGCACCCCTCAGCACCTTAACATTCTGGAGGGGTAGCAGAAAAAAAAAACTAAAACGTGTAAATTAAAACAGTGTACAGCTCTTTTATTATTATGTACATGCTCACGATACAGATTTTGTTTTTTTTTTTCTTCCAATACTTCTCCTTTATAAACCTCAGTTACCACATTACAAGCCCAAATGGTCAAGCTCACAGCAGACTATGGTCATTTGGTAAATTATTCTTTCAATGCAACTGATTGTCTTACAGTTTAAAAAACTCTAAATGTTAGCTGTTGGCTATTTTTGTGCATTTTTGTGAATGTTTAGCATTCGTTAGGGTAACTTTAGGTACATCTGGACTTTGACAAATAAAACTGTCAAATACATTTCCACCAAAACACAATGAGTTTAAACAGAAGCCATCTCACCTCCACCAGGCCTCTTCTCTCCTCCAAGGCTGCTTTGCCTGAAGCTGATTGCCTCTCCATGGAAACACCACACCTGAAGGAAATTATTTTAATTATCCAGCTGATTTGAAGACAGTGCAATCAGGTTTGCTTTTCCACTTCTGGACCTGTGGATGCAACCTTACGTTTTTTTTTACACTGACCAAAGCAGGTTCTGCAGTGAGAACAGAGAGCTCGTTACAGCTGTCAGGTCTACTGCTTTACATGAAGGACGGACAGACATTGACACAGAGGATCATTTTAACTGTATTCAAATCAAACCGATAACAATGGTGAATGATATTGGTGCCAAAGTCCCGCAATAAAGCTGTTGCAACTATTTAATGAAATGTCACCATTTTAAGAATGACTTTGATATGTGACCAATTCTGCACTGTTTTTACTGCGGTCATAAGGAAGTCAAGAAAATAAAAAAGTGTTCTTAGTCTAAAACAATAGCAATGAGGAAAGCACGACTGTGCCAGAACCAAGACCTTTGGCTGTTGTGGGTACACTGTGTCAGCCAAATCTAATCCAATCTAATCTAAGAAAAAAAAATCAGATTACTAACTTCCCTTTTATTCATAATCACAAACACAGCCATACCTTATCCTCATACCCAACCATGTAATTAACCAGGTCACTAATTCTGGAACCTCTCATGATGATTCCACTTTGTTGTCCTATACCTGTCTTTTCCCTGATATTGCACCTTCTTGAAATGCTTTGACACCCAGCCTCCCACGTCCTAATTCTAAGCAGTATGTTTTAGTTCAACAAATAGAATTCAGGCATTTGTTTTATATATACAGAAACTGAGAAAGAGAAGAAAAAAACACCAAATATGTTTCAGTTGAAAAGAGTGGGTGATGAAGTAAGAAAATTGACTTAACGTACAACTTCATGTCAGCAAATTAAACATGTTCCAGAGCCTAATAACCACCCTTTCTTATCCTGCAATTATACACATGAATCACAGTGAGGCGCACACCCTGAACGAGAACCATACACATCCACTGGCACTAGGAAAAACAACTGAATTAATGGTGCTGTGCACAACATGGTGCTGTGTTTTTACAGTAGCACATCCAGTAATCTGTGCACTCGCACTGAGACACCAAATACATCGGTGTTTTGCTGCCCTCACAATGCACTCAGCATTATGAATGGACTTAGACTGCACACTACACACAGATACTGGGACAACAATGGAGCTCTATGGGCGACAAAATCAAAACAAAGCCCTGCGTGGGCCGGCAGTGTGCCCGATTAGGTCAGATAAACAACCTACATGATCTAAAGTTGAAGATGCATGTCCGACATTTAAAGTTTACTTATTCTGCCAAAAATGCTGTTCTAACCAATATGTGTTTTCTAACAAGAATAGATTTCTAAGATTAATAATGTGTGTAGATAAAAAAAAAGAAAATCATGAATGGAACTCATGTTGTCCCTATATATCGAAGGTTATTATAGAAAACAAAATTACAAGCAACTTCATTACTGGTAAAACTGAGGTAAAAGCAAAGATTATTTTGCTACACACATACTTGTCTCTGTGTAGCTGTAGGAACACACAATAGCTTCAATAGTCTCTTACTCTAAACATAAAATATAACATTCATTCAAGATCAAGACAAAACCACTTATTGCTTATGAAACGTCAGTTAAAGTAGTGAGGACTGGATTAAATGTCCCCTTCATGGATGGTTTTGTCCATGTCATTTGTCGTGACATGCACACTCAGACATGTTTACAGACCTTCCTGATTACAGGCTTCCGTAGGAGCTTCACGGTAATGTAGAATTATTATTGTTTTTGTTTAAACTTACCCGAAGGTTGAAGTAAAAACGCAAAGAAGCTGCTGTTTCCTCCGACGGGTGACACGTTTCCTGTACCTGTGTTTAAGCACCGCGCTGCCTCACTGTCAAAACGGGACATTTGCCACCAGCTTTACGGCTCTGTCGCTGAACGAAGTACGCATTTCACTGTCCGGCCGATATTTTTAAAAATTCCTTTTTAACAAATGCGACCCTAGCATTACAGGCTTCGTTTAAATATTAGGTTAAAACTAGGTCATGCGTTGGTGTTTGATGGGCTGCGGGGGGATGAGAAAAAGATCCTCATCTTTTCTGGAGCCGCTCTGACTGTGACGTCGCTGCTAAAGCCTTAAGTCACGTGACAGCGGCACAAACTCCGTAGGACTTATAAATAAACGAAAACTGACAGAAGATTTAAAAAGAGGGCTTAGTGCAATCACTTAGTTTATCCGCTCACTGGATAAGCCAGGACTGTTGAAAAATTGTGATAATTATAAAAAGATTATACATGTAAAATTCCCATGTAATATATATATATATATATATATATATATATATATATCAAAAGTCACTGTGTGAAGGGATAACCATGTTGAATCTGCAAGTGTGTGAGGGAAACAGACTCTACAGTCCCAAGTCCAGGATTGAGATTTACAAACACCTTTACTTTTATTTAGGTCAAACAAGAGTACTTTCTGGAATACCCCAATATTTAATACAATTCTGACGGCAGTCCTGTCTGAAAAGTATACTTAAGAACGTTCAACAGATAATAATAGTCTAAAACTATCTACGTTCGAAGTACAAATGTAAAAAAAGTGTTAAAAGTTGTTTTTTTTTCTAATACCCCCGGCCTCAGTTGTTATGTATTTAATTATTCTCTAATACAGCACTAAAATGTCGACTCACCTTAATAGTTGGGTTTTTGACCATAAGAGACTGACGTCACTGGCCTTTTCTGTGTGTTTACTACATTTAAAACAGTAAGTCTGGAACAAACGTACGGACCTGAACAACAGTGTTTCCATTTCAGGTGTTTAAATTTCCGCATATTGTTTTTTGGTAAGTTTTACTTAACAGAATCCATAGGAGAAAAATCGCACGTCTACAGAAGTATTTGGAATGAGCACCGCCGATTCTGAACTTGGTGGTGTTACATTTAATTCTGCTCCTTGTTTACAGTATAAGTTTTGGGTTACTATATCACCTACCGCCCTCACTCGGTTATCGGGGGGATTACAAACAACATTACATCGAAGACACATTCTTGTCATTTATTATATTGAAACGTAAAAAATAAATGTAATATTTCCTTTAAAAATATACAATTGTAACAAATTTATAACAAATTGTAACAAATTTATAACTCATAAAGCAGACTGTGAAAGCTATGTAAACACAACTTGAAAAAATTAGAAAAAATATTCTTTGATTAAGACAAGTCAATGCATGATACAAAAACTAAAGAAGTTAAGTATGTTTGCTTTTTGGACCTTTTGATATTTTGAGTTTTATATAAGTATATATGTATATATGACAAACCGCACCATGCCAGTGCAACTGGCTTACCTTGATTTCAATCACCTGATTCCAGACACTCTAAATAAGCTGGAGTGCAAAGTAGAATAAAGAACAACGCAAGCAACAATAGTACTGTAAACATGTTTACTTTACAAAGTCAATGACAGGTCGGTAGAAAATTTAAACAAAATTGCCAGTTCAATACAAAGAAAAGGAAGGTTGAGATTCTGACTGAATTATTTACAAAACAGAATAAAGTCCTATCATTAATTTTCTTTAGTTAAAAAAGAACAGCACAGACACTATTTGTTAAATTACTAAAACATTTCTTTTGGTGTTAGGATTTCTGATGAACGCTCTGTTGTGTGAGCATGTTTGTGTTCATCCACTTCTTAGTGATCCTTGTGGTCTCCGTCTTCCTCCAATTTCCTGATCTCAGCCTTCAGATGGTTGATGTTTTCCCTGCTGGCCTTTAGTTTGTCTTTCAGTTCTGCGATTTCCTGACTAGTTTTCTTCTTTGCCGATTCCATCTTCTCCTTAGTCTTTTGCTCCTGCTCACCAACTGTAAACATAAACCAGTACAATAATCACATGTTTCCCATATTTTGGGCAAATGTGTATCCACATTTTTGTCAATGATTTGAAGTGCACATACATTCTGTCTCATGTTTGTATGCTCCGAGAGTGAGTTGTCTTGACGTTGTGAGCAGTTGCTGCATCATTGCTGTAGGATCCTGAAAGATCTATTTACAAACACAAGATATTATAGTTTCCATAGACAATCATTGTGACAAAATGACTGAACTGCAACAAATTACAGACATTAGGAGGCCACAATAAACAGTTCCAGTAAAAACATTCTTATAATGTAATGTTAATTCATTCATTACTTTTACATACAGATAACCATTACACCCATCATTGGTGAAAACCACTCAGTCTCACCATTTCATCATAGAATTCCGAGACCACTGTCTTCTTTGGCATGGCACTGGAGTCAGACTGGAACAGCTTTAATAAGTGGTAAAGGGTAACCTAACAGACAAAAACAAAAATACAATTCAATTTTTTTGTTAAGAAAATCACATATTTTGATAAATACTTCTACTATTATAATACTACTACTTAAAGATCAGTATGTAGTTGTTTGCTGTAACATCAACATGAAATGTGTTTGAAATGGCAGCTCTTACCGGTCTTTCATTAGGGTCAATGAAGAAGATCTTAATGATGATCTCGAACTCTCCCCAGCCTGTCTCTGTGATCTCATATGGCGGTTTTGTGACCACTGCATTGTCAGCAAATTAAAAAAAAAAAACAACACATTGTCAAATACAGTAAAACAAAAGCCAACAAAATATCCATCGTTATACAATTTAAATTTAGCATTATTTCAATCGAAATTCCAATAAATAAATATAATGTGCACCCACCTCTGAGAGGGTTACCATAGCTTTCATGTAGCTTGAACTGAATTTTCTTCACATAAGCTGACATATCCTGAATAGAACAATCGTTATTAGTTGTACAGTACATTTCTAATTTTCAATGATGAGTTATTATTATTATTAATCAAATGTCTCTAATGTGTGTCGATCTGGTTCAGTAAGCAGGATCTCATTTACTCATTACCTCATTTATATAGGGCTTCACGTAAACAGACCATTGATGCGTGTGTCCATCCTCTTCTCGCTTCTTCCCAAAGTAGCGGGCAACGTTCCCGAACACGATAGGCTTCACAATAGTCACTCCCTGCATTTATTATAAGATTAAACAGTAGTATTGGCACACAACAACAACGGGCATCATTAGAATACTTTCAAAGGCCATTCGGAAAAACATGTTATAAAAATCCCAGACGTTACCTTAACTCTCCCTCCGGAATCTGGACCAAATTCAGTCATCTTTTTAAACATAGTACATAGACACAAGTGTCAATCTGATCACTCGTTCCACTGTATTCCAGGCTCGAAATCTATTTTTTAATCTTGCCGTCTAGGCAATACAAATGCGCCAAATACGGCGGCCATTTCTATTTACAACACCACTCAAACAAGCACCGGAAGCTGCAAGCGCAACGTTTTTCGATGTCCGTGAAGTGACATGCACACTAAGGTTCCGGGTAATAATATCAATCCCAGGACCGGAATAATGGATCACAAAATCTGATTAAAATAATTTCATACACGTTCGACCCGTTTGCGAAATACAAAGCATCATACTGTCTGTGATCTAATAAAAACAGAGTTTTTTTTTATTTCACAGCCACTACCCAACAGTTGACACAAGAACCACAACCTGGATGTTATTAGACTAATGTGCAAATATAAAATAAATGTATCCAACAAAAACAATTGAAAAATTATTTGATACAAAATTGTAAGTGTCAATTTCCCAGTTACACATTTGTTTGAAAAAAAAAGAGAAAAGCCACAAACCGGTATAATTAAATTTTTTATTTATTTATAGAATTTCAAATGTAACCAATTTAAATCCGTTTCAGCGGGTCACAAACTACCAAAAATCTACATTTGCAGCAAGTACCATCGACTTGAATGAAAATGTACGTACGTGGCCAACTTGAGGCACACATTCACATAAAATCCAACTATAATCATTAGAAATCATGCACTTACAAATGTAAATAGAATCTGATTTACTACGTACGAAGTTAAACTCACTAAAGTTAGGCATTAAAAAAATTTGTTTTAAATCTGTATAAAAGACCTAACAAGGAAACTTTTGTTACAAAATACTTAACACCTCGAGGTAATGTGTGTTGTTTGGTCTGTTCTTCTGTGGCTGGATCCACCTGAGAACACTTACCTTCAGAGCTGCAGAGAGAAATCACTACAAGGCAACCAAGTGAGTGTCAACAGACAGGCACTTACAACAACACTGACAGACAGGGCATTGGGAATTTGTTGACATGAAAGCATCAACTGCACATTAATATAAAATCGTTATGTCATTTCACTTTCCCTTGGTACCATTACATTTCTCATACCATCATTTAACAACTTGCAGTGTGATTTTCTAGTGTTTTAGTATTCGATTCAATTCCAAAACTATCCATTATGACCAGATGGAATTTGGAAATATCATGTTTTCCAATTCAACACTTTTGGCAGAAAAAAGTGCATCAAGTCTCCAAAGTAATAAAAACACATGAAAAAATAAATAAACAAAAATACAAACTTAAAGAATGATTTAGCAAATTGATCAACCTCATTTTTTCATAATAAAGGCATCCGGAAACTGAGCCTGAACAGCAGGTTTGAGCAGTTGAAACTGCTTTTTACCTGAACATAACTAACATTACCTATTACTAAAATGTATGTTAGAAACCACAACACTCAAAACTAAAAAAAGATGGATACAGTACTTAAATTCCAATTAAAATATAACTGGTGGAGGAAATCTGTTAGGTTCATTGTGAAATTAACAGACTGTACTTAAAAACAAGCTGCATGTTTAAGACTGTAAACAGAAATTAAAAAACATAACACTTATTTACACTTCACACCTTTTACCATATTATGAGCTACATCAGATTCACATCACAAACTCAACATTTTGGGGTCAAATCTTTTGGGGTGTTTTTTGTTCTTGTGATGGTTGATTTACAAAATAGCATACGACTCATTGTCAAAAATCACAGAGAAAACGTTTTTGGATGAAAAGGAAGTTTCACATTGTTTTTTCAAAGTTTCAAGTATGAGATAGACCTTCAAATTATACAGTACAAATCATCACTTTTGATCTGAGTAAATTTAGCAACATGTCAATCTATTAAATGTCTTTCTCTAGAAACAGAAGACAGCTTGATGAACAGCTTGTTTACCTCACACCAACTATTACTAAAGAATTTCAATATGAAAAACAAACTTTTCGCTCAATAGTCAACATTGAGTATAAACCAGCGTGTATGTAGAGGAATTCACCAAATGCAGATTGGACCTCAGTAAACATTTTTTTATTACAACACCATTGAGATTTAATCAAAAGCAGAGACATTTACAAACATACTAAGGGAAGAATAAACTAGAATGAGGGCGGAGAGAAAACATCAAACATGTACCCAATAAAAACTGATCTCTACACTGAATGTGCCCGCTATAACAGGCAAAGAAAATAAAAAATATATATGGGATGTAATGTTAACGTCTCTTATATTTGGTGGTCAAGCAAGCTTTTTATTCTCTCTTTGCGAAAAAGTGTCACACATATTCAACCTTACGTCAAATAAAACATTGTAAAAACCGAAGAGCTGTATGGAATTTGTTTTTTAGTTACCACAAGTACAGGCGCCTGGATAACATGGCCATACACAGGTCTGGATCCTCCATCTACTGCTCACAGTCAGACAGACAAAGAGGAAGGAGAGACATGGTGGGGTGGGTGAAGGAGGAAGTGGTGGTTGCTGTAGTCCAGTCTTGCAGTGTTGGAAGGGGGACAGTGGTGGTTTGCTTGCACGTTTAGCGTTCCTCCTTTTCTTTACATCCATCCTTGATCCTCTTGAGCTGAAAGGTGTCAAAACGGAGGGTGGAGTTTGGTTTCTGAGGCAGCCCAAGAGTGACACTTCCCAACCCAACCATTAAACCTCTACACTACACAAACAAAGTGCACAAGAGGGCTGGGTTCAATTCACCATCATTGCATAGGTCACAAAACTGGATTTCACAGTGACACTTAATCAAAGGCAGAATATACAGGAATTACAGAAAAGCAGAGGAATTATCATCTCATCAGTCATTTTGTGGGGCAACTTTAACAATTGAAGGCCAGGACGCTGCCAACAAGAAGCCAGATGCAATTAAATTGCGAAAAGCAACAGTTGTAGCCAAAGTTAGAAAAGGCCGGGGCGTTTCCCAACTTCATGAAAAAGCCCTGACTAAGTCACCTCTCTCTAAATAATTTTGTGCATATGAATTGGGCGGTAAGGTACATCCCCACTCAGGTTAGCTTTATATCACCCATGCTAAAGCAAACTGTGTCAAAAGGTTGACGGACCAGGGCATTCAAACTGCATTTGAGGCACCTCTTACAGGACATGGAGGGTAGTTACATGCAATTGCAAATAGTGACACAAATTCTTGCATATTC